AAGCTTGTCCCGTAATTTCCGTAACTTACCCCTTAAAATAAAAATTCCCATTAGGAACAACGACAAGCTTTTAAATCGCATAAGAACATACTGATTATAGACAGTACGTTCTATTTATCATACTTTTGCTGATGACACTTCTATAGAGCAGTCATATTCAATCCTTTTGTGGGTTTGGGGTTTACACAACATTATGGATTTTATGAATTCTTTGGTTTATTTTTTCCTTTTAGTGCATTTTAATAAAAGCTTGTTTTTAAAATATTTTTTTTATTTTTCGTTTATATTAAGTAAAATTTTAAATACATATTCCGAAACCACTGAATGTTTGTATGGGGCATGCTATATGTGTCAAAATGTAGCGTCTTTTAATTTTACAAAAATCTTAATAACTCTAAGCCGGCTCCAGATAATTACCAAAAACTCGTCAAACACAGGTGTGTCAAATATTTACAGATAATTTGGCGAAAATCTAAAGAGCCGCATAGATAAGATGTATAAATGTCAGATATGAGCATATGATAAATATCTCCTCAAATACTCAAACATTTTATGCACGATTTGTTTAGTTACTAATTATCCACACGTCAATATATGTATATACACGTATCATTTTTTTATGAACGTAGAGAAATAACAACTTGCAGTATATGAAGTCAGACCTACTGACGAGGTCGTTGCAGCAAGTACCGCGCACATTTTGTTCGCATGCATATAGTTTGGCGAATATTTGGCAAGAATGATCGATATGCAGCATCCACACGATACGGCATTTCTTTGCGGTTGACAATCGCTTGGCAAATGACTACTTTATCTGAAGTTGGTTTTATACCCGACATTGTTTAAAATAAGTAAATATTAAATATAAATAAACAGGTAATTTTTTTTTAATATAATAGCTAGAAGCTAGCCTAAAAACTCATTACGTAAAAAAATAAATGTCGTTGCCCTTTATCAAAGTATTGGACAGTTTTACGTCATCACCTGACTACTTTTTAGCTCACACGATAAAACAACCGAAGCAGATATAAACAAACACCCACATCCGGTGATTACAGGTAATCGACACACGTAAAATCCAGCTCCATTTTCCATAAAAATAATTGTTCCTAAACACAGGCGCTGCTCTATTATTAGCATCAACGGTGTCTTCGTTCTAAATATAAATTTCCAATGTCAAAACTTGATGGTTTGATACCCGGAACCACATATGACGGTAGCAAAATGAAACGCTAAAATTATTACGGCGATATTAGCCACATTAATAAATAAGATAACGCTTACAGCCGGGCCCTATTGTCGTATTTCAGCGATTAGAGTCTCAGTCGAGTCGGGGACTTTGCGGGATGTTGTATACGGGTTCGCGTTATTTATTATACTGACGTTTCCAATTAGGTATTTAAATTGGTATTAACCACTTGCACAAAGGTGTATGTGTGTGTGTGTGATGTCGTTTTCATTCCCTGAAACGAATTACCAGCACGGCATGTAAATTATATAAATTGCAAAATATAAATGTTTGCTGTGGCAGAATTCGTAATTATATATTATTGGGTAACAACATGTGTTCTTGTGCAACTCAATGAAAAAACACTGTATGTGTTATATTGTAAGATAATTACCTACTTCTCCTTAAATTTAGAAGAACTGATGATGAAGCAAACAAAACAATAAAACTGCATTTTGTTAAAAATTGTTAATAATTATGAATTCTAAAATGTTATAATATTTTTTATAACTCCTTTCTTTAATTTTTTAATTTTCATTGTAATAACTTTGACAGTTTAAATTGTCAAAGCCATTAAAACGAAGGGTCAAAAAAAAAAGTTCAGAAGACGAAAACAATGGATTTTCGAAAAGTTAACTGCCTTTTTAAAGTGATCGATATTAAGTGATGTGTTTTTGTATTTCCCATTTGTCTGCTTTTCTCAGTGTGAGATTTTTTGATTAAGCAAAACTATTTTCATAAAAAATAATCCTTGGCTGGCCCATTTGGCGCACGGTTTTATTTAACTATTTTTTTTTAAATTTTTTCACAGGTGGCAAAATATCCAAAATATAAAGAAAAAAACGAAAACTGTGCCACAAATCAATAACTCCAGACATTAACTGTTTTGAGGGTTGCTTTCGCTGTACAGCAAGAAATAAAACGCTCTCTCAACGGTAATAATAAAGTATTTTATTGAAAACTAACTTGTATAGAAAAAGACGTGTTGACGGGACGACTGTTTGCTGGAGAGTCCCCGTGTGTGGAGTCGGTTGTAGGTATATGGGTACGCATCTGGTCGCCGGCGCCAGTAGACCCTTCCTGGAAGGTTGGTGCGTCCGGTGGCGCTCTTGACATAATGCTTAAAATGTGTCACTTGCGAACATGTGTGCCCACAGGTTATTTTTTAATTTTTTTCTGTATCAACCAAAAAAATAAATTATGTTCTAAAATAAAATGCCTTAAGATTGTAAAATCTCAAAAACAGAACATTGAGACATATCATTTTTCTGATAAAATATAAATATGTATATGTTTTTTCTAAATAAGACTTTTTAAATCATTTCGACACTATCCATATTCCAATTAGTAACTCTCGTCGAATTAGCACAATTAAATTTATACAAAATTGTTATAAGTATATTAAAAAAAATTGTTTCATATACATGGTATTCCACCTAACACCTTTTTATAATTCCTCAAATACAGGGTCCTGAGGACCTGAAAAAAAAAATTACAGTATTAAATGAAGCACATGTAGATATAGAACAGTTTTAAATTGAACTATTGTCAGATTCCTTTAATTACAGCTTAACTTTCATTTAATAATAATGACATAACAAGTGTGCAGTTATAATAGATTCGAATACATATACCTGAAATAACGACTTATCTAAAAAAAAACGACTAAAATATCACATACATTGTACTAAATTTTCTTTATTTAGCCCAATTAATTTTTAGCAGTTTACAAACTTTGACAACTTTATCGTTTCTCAATAACAAAATTACAACTTTTAACCTTCAAAAAACTAATGATGCGGCTGTTTATATATTTTTCACACATCTAGATCTCGTATACTTTTGTATAAGATGTTTCACTGATTTTTCTTCAAAGAACCATAAAACTTTTACAGGAAACTTTTTATCCTAGAGTTCTAGATAAAAAAATGTAAGAAAGTAACTGTTTTCGGTGAAAAAACACTGCAATTTTAGAAACGCTATAAACAACTCACTATTTTTTTGAAAATTATATCAAATCATATATTTTAGGAAAAAAATATCTGTATAGAGAAAACTTACGGAATCTTGCTGAACGAAAATACATCTATCTAATTATTATTAGTTTTAATAATGTTCGCAGATTACTACACATTATTACCTACTAGTTAAGTTGTAATAAAATAAAAATTGTACATATCTCATATTATTTAATTCAGTTTGCTGCTCTTATAAAGAAAAAGAAATTGAACTACTAAAAAAATAATAGTAATAAGAAAACATGGCACTGCGCTAAAAGGATCAGTTGAGGGACTGTTTTTACAGAGTTTGTCTAACTAGAAATATCTCGCACTGAAAAAGAAAGAACGTTTATCATTTCACTAAAAACCCCATTGGTTTACATTCTGAAAACATCAGTTTTCGTTATATTATCAAAACCTTTAATTAGAATGAATGAAAATCTAATGTGGCAGTTTTTTATTTTGTTTATCTGCATCCCATAGAAATATATCATATGAAATCTATTTTATTTATTTTTCTATTTAATTCAAAATTATATTTTTAAAATGTCAGATTAGGAAAAAGTACCTAATTATCTACAAGTTTCTAAATACCTTTAAATTTATTTAAATATGCTTGTTCGTATTAAACTTCAAAAACCACACTTCATTTAATGTCGCAATAAAATGCAGTACGGAATGTTAATCGATCGAATATACAAGATTTAACAAAAATACTTAACCAAACTTTAATGGCAAATTATATCACAAATTTAGTAAAGTATATGATGAAATGCTTTATTTCAGGATTTACAGGATGTATTCTATTTTTTTTAAGGCCAGAAAACGGATGACGCGATTTCATTCAAATTATGTGCTGTTTTAGTTTCTGATTAGATAGGAACTAAGTGTTGAAGGTGGACTTCATTTTTTTAGAAATTTTTTTTCTTTCACTTCAGTTTGAACTCACTATTATTATAGAACATTACAAGCTTTACAATCTTTGAATACAAAATTATTTTATATATGTAATTTCTTTTATCTGTTCTTTGCAACTTAAAATAATCTACGTTTCTGAAAAACGAAACGTTTGCGGATACATTGGTCTTCTTTTATTAATTTGCGACATAGATCCGCCATTAAAGTTTGGCAAAAACAATTCAATTACACCCGCAATAAGGATTGACTTTAAGCTATAGGAAATCTTTGAAAATATTAATTGTTTATTTTCAAAAATTGGTTACCTAATTAAATTTTCCCAATTAAAATATTTCTTTATTTTATAAAATGTACAATTTACTTTGAAACAAGTCAATTAGAGTAAAGTTCCCTTGTTCTCGTACTAACAATTTTAATGATTTATGCGTTACTTTTTGAGAGATGTTGTTTATATGATATATGTACCCAATCAATTTGTTTTTCATCGTTCCCCTTTACAACTTCAAACAAATTATGTCAATCTTCTTTGTTTCTGTTTTTATTCCCAACGTTGATAACATGTCTTGTTTACGCAATAGCCAAAGATACACTGCTAGTGTTATTGAAACAAGAAGGTATTAGAAAATTTAATACTACATAGAAGTTCTTAAAGGTTAGAAATTTTAAATCTAATAAATATTAAAACATAGTAAAATATATTAATAACAATATAAAATATATCTACCTTGTTACAATAAAAAAAATACTTAATCATAATCGTTTCTTCCAATTATTATGAATTTTAAAAATTTGAATAGATTTCATTTGTATATGTTAACTAAAAACGAACTGGTTCTTTCGTTTTTACTTGTTAGTTTCATAAAATAGAAAAATCTATCCTTTATAAAAGTATATAACTAATTCTATGAGGAAATAAATTAAGTGGTAATTAAATGGAACAGTGAAGTGTTAACAAGTGATGCAAATAATTGTGAAGTTGCAATACAAACTTATGAACCTTTTCTATGATTGCTATGAAGAGGAAGAGGCAGTTGGTGAGGTGTCGATCGGTCTACCACAAAAATCGTCTGAAGCCCAGGTTAGTTCTTCAATGCTTCTTTAACAATTTTATCTTATTAATTACGCAACTTTTAAGAATATTTAAACTATTGCTATGAGACCAATCGTACCAAGTATTAATTCTATTTTTCTTGAAAAACAATCGTGATAGCCATACATATCATAATAATTTATCTGTGTAGATTTAACTGTGCACATTTATCTAATTCTAACATAATGAAATCGTGAGGATTTATATGCACAAATCAAACTCTGCAGATTTATATTATAACGATCAAATCAACTGCAGAAATTTATCTCACCTATGTTATGAATGGGAATAGGTTCGCACAAATACTTGTAGGAGTATACAATAATTTTTAACTGCACAGTTAATTATTACTCAATCTATTTCTCAACACATATCAAAGAGTGTAGATTTAACTGGCGTATAGATGGGAAATTGTTTGGTTTGTACATATATTTGTTTGTAGATGGAATAAATCGCAGTGATTTATCTGCACAAATCGATTTGAGAGGTGGACATAAACAGTTTTTTGCAACCAAAATGCATATAACAAATAAAAAATTACAAATGTTTTGAAATATAAATTATTTAAATCCAAAGTTATTAAATTAAGAATAAATACATACTATCAAAAATGATATTTCGAGATTATTTAATAATAGATTTATTATCTGCAGTCGCTGATGATTTAATTTTTATTTCTTTGAAACCCATTAAAATAAATTCCACATGATTAACACATATGTATATCTTCCAACCATCTAATATTTTTATGCTCGTCAATTACTCTTTTAATCGAAAGATATAGACGTCAGCATCGAAATTTCGCTTAGAGTTGGTATTATTTATAGCTTTCATGTATTTGTTTTTAATATAGCTATTTTTAGATCGTTTCGATTCGACACAAAACATTATTTTTTGTTGTATACACATAGTTCTGACCTACTACATCCCAGCATTCACTCTTATCTCTATTTCAGAATAAGCTATTTTCTCTTTTTCCCAATACCGTTTTTTATTATAATTTGTTAGTTTTGTGTACCTATTTTTCTGAAATATAACCATCTATTTCATACAGGTACCTTTAAAAAGAAAGATTTTCATAAATGTCCATATATATTTAAGCAGATATCAGGACCAACAAATTGCAATGATATCATTGACAGAGCAATTCAGTACGTCAAACTTTATCTCAAAGATTACTTTTCTTTGTTGAATCATTTCCGTTAAATTTAGATATATCAATACTTCCTATTACGTTGTTTGTCGTAAATATCAATGCTTCCTATTACGTGTTCTGTCGAAACGTTCTCTGTATTTTAATAAATCTCTATAAAGAAACACTATATTTTAAGTTGCATATTTAAAAAATTACCTTGGTTCAATGTCCTTCCAATTCTTGTATTCTTGTTTGAATGTCAGTTTATTTTCTTTATGGTAATGTATTTTCGTTCTCATTTATATTCTACCTTTAAGTTGCAGCACTGTCTTTCGGGAAATGCTAGGAGAATTTTTAGCAACATTTTCTTTTACCTCTCATTTGATCTCAAAATAATAAAAAAATAAACTTGCATCATCAAAGTGCGTAAAAACGTGTATTATCCATTTTCTCACACACGATGTAGATTATCGATAACAAGCAAAGCTATTCCTCCATGACATAGTTCCAGTCAATGCTCTAAATCGAGATTTGCACCGAGTTTCCTTTGTATCCTATCAGCCATTTCACAGTTATTTAAAAAATTCTTTTTTGTAAAACTGTCATTAAAAATTACATTTTTAGTTCATTGATAAGTGAACTAAAAATTACTTTTATAATGCAACGTGTCAATAACGCCTTTAACACTAGTGTAAAAAACTTTTAACACTAGTTTAAAAATAAAATGCTGAACAGGTATATTATAAATATAGTAGGTAATATGCATTCTTCTGAAGATAATAGAAAGCTGTATTGATAAATTTAGAAGGAATATATTATTTAGAAACATCAATACATATTTATTCCTATTAACAGTTACAGATTATTTATTTAGAAACGTTAATATTACTACCCGGACAGTTACAAAGTTAAATGTCATAGTTTTAGGAAAAAATCCAAATCTGTTTGTTATGCTAATTACCTAGATATATTTATCTTCATATACTTTTGTTATCTAAATTTGTTTGCACAATAAACATGACTTTTACATTATGACACGGTGCTATCCTCTTTTACTGGTTTAGTATTTAGGAAACAAAATATGTTGCGGAAGAAACTTTTGTCGCACTTAGGTAAAGTGCCTAAATATACATTAAAAATCTCTACAGAAAAATATAAACTGATAATTAATTAATTACGTACTGTACTAAACAGTTTCAGTTATACGTATAACAATACAGAGAATGATTATGTTTGATTTAGATTTATAAAGAGATTAATGAAATAATAATTAATTTTAAATCTCTGCGTTACATTTTCGATACAATACGTTTATGTAATCCGATTACCGTTTTAGATTTAAGCCAATTTGAATATCCATTTCACATATGCCTCCTGTATAATAAATCATTTGTGACAATATTTAAAATTCGAAACCTAATTTCAATTTGACACTTAGTTCTTTTAGTCCCTATCTGCTGAATTATTAAAATCATACAGCCAGTTTTGGAAAAAAGTTGTTAGAAAATAAAAAAAGGTTTTCTATGAACTCTGATTTAATTGTGGTGTTGACTTTTTTTAACCACATACCCAAAAACTATACATTGTCGAAACTAGCAAAATAATTGTGTTTAACTTTGTAAAAAGATCATGGATATATTTTTATACGTAAAGAAATGTCAGTATATGTGATTTTTATATAAAGTGTAGATACTTTAATCCAAATCTGAATTTGATGAATTTTTGTCGACGATACATCATTCTCCTCACATAATTATCATTTGCTAAAGTTGGTTAAAACCCAATATCATTAGCATCCCAGAATATTTTGTTTACAGGAAAGGGGAGAACTGGAGGTGGACCTCTACCATACAAATCTACCTTACAAATGAAATATCTTCGCTTTTTTCAGTTTCCTTCTTCTCCCTGGAAGTATCTAACATTGATTTTCTCTGCTTAAAACTTTCTAGAAACACTTTCACTATGAATATTTTATGTATTTATCGCCCACCCAACACTTGTGTTGACGACGACCTGGTAATGCTTGATAAACTCCAGGAGTTCTCTTCTTATAATAATTTAATTATTCCCTGACATCAATTGGCCAATAATGCACGTTCCGGACACCATAACTTCGATAAAATCTGTTTATGAATTTCTTACTTCACTCAAATTTAACTCAACTAATAACGGAACCCACCAGATTTCGACTTGACAACGATCCTTCCACCCTTGACCTCGTTTTAACTAACGAGATAACATTGGCGAAACATTGAATTCACTACAGATATAGTTCTAAAATGTGTTGATGCCCTTACCTTGCCTCTGTCTGTGATTATGTCCCAGTCTTTTTCAAGCGGTTTTGTACCATCCATGCGGAAACAGGCTTCAGTTACACCAATCTTCAAGAAAGGAGACAAATTGGACCCCAGTAACTACCGCCCAATCAGTCTTTCACCCACAATTTGCAAAATCATGGAATCTATCATTGTGGAGGGTATAACATATTTCTTACTACAAGAAAACTTTATTCCTGCACAGCAACATGGATTTATTAAAAACCGCTTCACATTAACAAATATAATCCTCTGTGTAAACGACTGATCTCTGGCTCTAGACAATAGTGATCCTATAGATGTAATATACCTTGACTTTTCAAATAAGGTGCCAAGGAGAAGACTTTTACACAAATTGGATCATGTTGGCGTTCGTGGTACCTTACATCATTGGATCAACAGTTTTTTAACAAATAAATACTTTAGAGTGAGAGTAGGCGAATCTTTCTCCGCCGATAGACCGGTCCTCAGCGACATACCTCAGGGTTCAGTTTTAGGGCCCCTATTGTTTATTATCTATGCCAGTGATATTCAATATCACGTCACGAATAAGGTATCATTCTACGCAGATGATATTTAACTGTACGCCAATCCTGATAGTGACCATGTGCCCCTCCAACGAGACTTAGTGTCCATTACCAACTAATGCGATGAATGGCTACTTCCATTAAATGCAGGCAAGTGTATTGTTCTCCATATCGGCCTTAGAAATCCAAATTGCGTGTATTCCTTACATGGACAAGTGCTAACAACAGTGACTTCTCACAATGACCTAGGTGTCATAATAAACTCCAGTTTGTCATGGTGAGATCATGTAAACTTTGTGTGTAAGCGTACTAAACTCTATTTACTGCGTAAGTCGTTAATTAATTTATCATTTGACGTGTCGTGTAAGCTATACTGCAGTTACGTGAAGCCAATTCTTGAGTACGCTGGTTCTGTGTGGTGCCCTGATCTCATCCGAGACCAGCAATCCTTAGAAAGTGTTCAATGATCTGCGACCGGGCTTTCTTTTGGACGAGTTTGACCTTCCTATGTGGAACGACTTTCCATGATACATTTCAGATACCTCCAGCAGCGTCGCCTTCGAAGCGATTTAATTATGACTTTTAAAATTCTTAAATTTAATTTCGGCGACTTGTCTTCAATCTACTCGTTGAATTCTGATGGTCGCCTCCGTGGTCATGAATTAAAGTTAAAAAAAGAAAATTTTAAATCCAGGGCAAGGCAATACTTCCTGTCCAACAGAATTGTTTAATAATTGGTGCACCACTGGATGCTCACCTTCTGTAATAGATATTAGTTTTAAGTTAATTCTTTAATACGTTATGTTTATTATACCTATTGTGCTATATATATTTTGTTAATTTTGTGTATAATAGGACATAAGTCCTCTGCGCTAACCTATTTTGTATTAATAATAATAATACATTTTTATTAAATTAAATATAGAAATATCATATGTTTGAAATTAAGCACTTTTGGATCTACGTTTATGGGAACATTTATTCCTGAAGTACTATCTGCCATATATGACA